TGTGATCAACATTGGTATTGTACTTAAATTTTGGAAAATTTTAATGGGTGTTATTAATTAACTTTAAGAATTATGAGAGGTCGGATACTTATGACCGCTACTGTATAATTAAATCGTATCATTCTATGTAATGTGTCACCAGAATTATGAATTAAAAAGAATTATATCACGAATTAGGTCGCCTATTTTGATTATTAATTAATAAATTATTTCAATAATTAAAAGTCTACCTTACGAAAAATAATTTAACTATAAAAATAAAGAAATTTATAAACTGAAACCGAAACGTTAATATTGATAATAACACGTTAAAAAAGTCCGGCGACGCAATAGGATTAGGAATCTGTGTCGTAGTATAAGATTTTGCTTTTTCAAGCATATTCATAATATCGATACTCGTTAAGATAAAAATTCACAATACTTGGTAGATAATATCAAATGTACAAAGAAAATCAGTGCCACCGTAATTTTACGGGTGGACAAATTTCCTTGGACAAGAAATCGTTTTTAGTTGACATGATAATAATTTTGAATTAAAACGAACTTAACAACAGACTTATTATAACTTTAAATATCGTGTGCAATAATTTTTTTCTTAAAGGTAAAAAATTCGACTATATTATTATTATAATTATTAATTGTTAGTCCGGAGAGCGTTGTCTATGATGGGTGATACAAAAATGTCGCGATGTTCCGCCCGCTCAAATAATTGATTTTTGTACAAAAGTCTCGATAAAACAAATACCATGTGTGAAATTTTTTTTTATTTAAGATCGCTCCAGACTTAACAACGGTCCCGTTCCCTAGTAATATATTTGAAAAATTGAAGCATACGAATAAAGTCACTTTTAGCAATTCTCAACAAACGATACTCCTCAAATTTATGATATTAATGTAAGTTGAAAATTGAATTTTTATTCCTTTCAAATTTTAGGAATAAATATAAATTATTTCTTTTAAAAAATTAATTAGTTCGAGATTTCATATGCGTAAATAAAAGCTTTTGGGAGGGTAAAAAATTAAGAAGTTATTAAAAAAAAATTGAGTTAACTGATGCACCAAATGAATTAATTTTTATCTTGATCTTCTACTAGTCAGCCCAAACCTTCATTCTTCTTAGTTGTAACATGACTCTTTTGTTCAAGTATAATGCGGCTAGTTTTTATGTGTTGGAGCCTTATACTTATTTTCATTTCCCTTACTTTATTTATCTCAAGTAATTAAATCACTATGCAAATTTTAATAGTTAAAACCGTTGCTTCTTGCATAAATTTAAATTTAAGCCTGTTTATCTTACTGAATTTCAATATCGAGACGTTCTTGTAATATATAATATTACGTTAAAAAAAATAAATTGCAGCGTGAAAATTGTTCAAAAGTAAATAGTGTAACCAAAAAATTGGAAAAAAGTAACACCAAAAATATCGAACGTCTATTTTCGTAAAATATTAATGATAGAGTTATAACAAATTGTTACACATTTACATTTATGGTGGGAATTCTTTTTCTGGATGGAGATCCGCTTAATGAAATTAATATCCGATATGTTTAACTTGAAAACATAATTTATTGATTGATCAATAAATCAAATAGATGGAAGAACATTTTACTTTTTTGCAAAAGACAAGAAATAATGAGGAATTCTTAAAAGAATTAAAAAAATTGGACATGACTATAAGAAATCATTTCTAATTCATAACCCTCCAAGATCTTCCTTTAATCTCAACAATTATTAAACATAAACCGGCTAAAGTACTCGCACCAGCCATAGCAGAAAATCCCAAGAGAATTTTTTAGAGAGGAGGTGAGAATAATTAAGATACCGGTAATAAGGTAACATAACCCATCGGATATAGCAATAGTCGAAGCACTTTTTCCGGGTAAGCATCAACCAAATAATTTGAAGAAATGTTAAAAATCATCGCAATGACAATAAATAAGATAATTAAAATCCAATAAATAGCGAAATTTTTACTAAAGCTAAACCCTCAAACAAATAAGACATTGGTATTATTACAATACTCGCCCAACAACTTTTAATTCTAACTTCGGGAAAGTTTAATTCAGGTAACAAATTGTTTTTCCTTTTATGTCTTTTTACTATCCAATCTTGAAATTTACCACCTATTATATTTACCAATTATATATCCTGACCCAGGTACAAGGTAAAGGACGAGGAAGTCAATCCATAAGCTGCTGATAATAAATCTCCAATTAATAAATTTTGAATGTAAAGAGTTATCGTCATTATAACTTTGTTGAAAACTAATAAAGCAACATTAGGATAAGTTAAAAGTGTTAAAGGTTCGATTGGATTAAATTTATTGATTTTTATCGTGGTTATTATAGATTCTGTTTTCATTGATACAGTTCTCATTGAGGGTGCTAAAGTTGATGGGAGCTCTAACTGAATGAACCGAATTTGATTCATTGATTGGTGCTGAAGAATGAATGTCAGTTAAAGAAAATGTGATGTTTGGAAGAAATTTAGATAAAGGTTTAGGAAATGTTTCAGGAAGAAAAAAGAATATCAAGATAACGAAACTCCCTCCCGATATTGTTAAAAACCAAAAATTAAATCTCCATCCAAAGTAACTTGTTAATAAATCTCTGACAGATGGTCCAATAAGCCCTCTGCCTCTCTTCCAAAGAAGAAGGTACCATACGCTTGATCTTGTTATAATAAAAAAAAATTTTTTTTTTTAAGATTATAAAAAGTTAAATCATATTTACATTGAAATTTACTTACCATGATCAGAGAAGATATCGGAAAATACCACCACCGATACATATGACTACGGCCACACCACAAGCTTGAAGCGCACGTGCTACGATATATCCAAATATTTTTTGAAACAGCGCATAAATTGTTCGCTACGATGAATAAGGTTAAGCCAGAGATGTATACTTGTTTTCTTGTTTGACGCTTATCAGAGTATGACGCCTAAAGTAATGGCTATATGGGACCTTTGCAATAGAAAAGGGGAAACGGTTGGAAAAAAATAAAAAATGAGTTAATGCTAAATCTGAACATATTTTGACCTAAAAAATCATATTTGGCATATAAATGTAAAATTGATTTTTCCCCCCTTCTATTACAAAAGTCCCATATTATAAACGAAAAGTTGTTGTGAAACATAAATGAATGTATTTGGCGCAGTAGTTTTGACATAAACAATGGTGATTCAACTAAACAATACTCATAATTGATATTAACGTTAGAATTAAATATTTTTTTTTTTTAGTGACCAATGTTTTGGGTCTAAATTTGTATTTTCGACGATCTTTGAAGAAAGCATATCGTCTTTATCAAGATTCTCTGTATTTACATAAATTGAAATTGATGGTTGTTTATGAAATTCATTTTCATCATTTTAACGATTGATTTTTCTTGTGAATCATCAAATGTTATTGTACTTTCATATGATGAATTCTCGACTTGCTTTTGTAATTTATTTTGCGTTGTAGAATTGTTGTAATATTGTGTATCTGATCTATTATTATTCGCGATTGAATTTTCCATTTTTTTGAATTGAGGTAAGAAATATTTCTCAGAGACTTTTCTATTAATACTCAATGAAGAAAAATAAAGAGACATTCGATTTCCGTACCTTATATATTAGAGAAAAATCCGCAAAATAAATAAATTTGTATATGATTAGAATATGCGCGTATTATTTTTGAATCTATTCTTTTTTTTAATGTAACGTTCGGAAAATATATTTTGAACCTTTTTTTTTAATAAATATAAATAATGTAAATAATGTAGACAAATTATTGTAATTATTTTTTTCTTAAACCTTTATTTTTTTGCAGACCGGAAACACATCCGGTGAATATAATTAATTCATCAGGTTTTTGGCTGTTAAGTTTATAGATGTGCCCACGTTAATTCGTTCCCAAATTTTATGCAAGGAGAAAATTTTTTTAGCCGTGACTTATTACTTTTTCTTTTTTTTTTTTCGTCAAGTATATCAAGTACAGTATATTCACAAATTAATATTATTCTCAATTTGGTAGGTATGATCTACATGCTTTGACAATCATATTAGCCGATTCCATAAATAGTAAACAGAAAAGATTTTAAAAATATAGATTATAATCCAGAATGTGGATTTAATTCTATAATCAACGATGACGGTACCATCAGATCTCAAGAAATCCTTAGGGAAAATGCAAAATATTTGTTCTCTTTAGTGTTACTTTGAAGGATATGTATGTGTATTTTGAAACAGAATTTAAATGAGTAAAACTAAATATTGTTAAAAAACGATCGTTGTACAATTAAAAGGTTAAATCAGGTTATACTTTTTTGACTTTGACAAGGCTAAAAAAGAGAGAAAAATAAAAATTTTTTTTTCACGTTTCGAAAATTTTTTTAATTACTTTATACTTAATCATATTGTCAACCTTACAAGTTACTAAACTATGTATGTTAAGACTAAATGATAAAATATTTTGTGTTGATCTTATTCTAATAAAGTTTATCCATTTGGATCGGCAACACAATGTTTGTCCTGATTGATTCCTGTTCTATAATTAAGAGTTAATTTTAAAATCGGAATCGAATTAATCATGTAATTATGTAATGCTAAATTGAATCAGTTTCTAATAAAATAGAATCGATGACCAAAAAATTTATATAATATTATTTAGCAAAATCGCGATAGTTTCCAATCGGATGAATACATTGTCAACTTCCAAAAGTGCCTCGAAACTGATTATTTTATAAAAGTCATTAATTATGCTTACGCGCTCAATTTTTTATCTAATGGACCTTGTATCAATCTGGCAAGTGTGCATGTTAGATTTGTTTAACTTCAAAATTCATCCAGAAAAGTTGTTTTATAGAAAATTTTCCCGACATTATTCGAAGAGTTTTCAATTTTAGCGTTATCTAAAAATAGTATTATCCGAATTAAATTAATTTAAACTATAACATTTATTATAGTATTATCTTTTTTAATATATAGAATATAACGAGTTTTAAAAATTTGTGACAACTTCTGAGATTCATCTCGTGGTCTTAAAGCTTATAATCGCGTAATCATTTAGGAGCATTGTTTCGATCGCCGGGCTGCGGTTTGAGGTCATAAGTTAATTAAAACAGTATAATCATATATTAAAAGATCATGCAATTTTAGTTAATTTACCTACTGAACTTTAGACTGTTGGAGTTACATGTTGTTTCATAGATGAGTATTTTAAGTCTTATAATAGCTTATGTTAATATTCGCGCAGATCGTATTAGCGATACTTTACTTAAATTATTAGATCAATGAAAGGTTAATTTAATTACCATAGATGATAGCATTAATATAAAAAGAGCAATTAAGCATTTCAATAAAAATTTTTTTTTTAGTAAACTGATGCTAGAATCTTAGAAAAGCAAACATACATCTGCACCTATTGCATTACAGAAGTTGTTACTTGATGAAATCCAAATTTTTCGATCTTTAATAAATTTTCACACAAAATAATATTTACTTGTCTTTACCTGAATTAGATTTTAATTTCGATTCTTTTATTTGGTGGTATGACCACAAAGAAAGATTTCTAATCCTTCAAAATGGTCAGCGTTTACCTTCCTATACCGGCTATCTACTCAAGGGAAATGATTATTTAGCAATGCTGGAAATCTATTGACAGCCAAATAAATATATTTAAATCCTGAATTGTTTGTTTTATAAGGCCACGCACTTAGCATTTTCGGTTCACCGTCACCCGGCCGGGTCACCATTTAAATTTTAATCAAAAGTTTTATATGTAAAAATTTTATCTTGTGACTTCGAAATAAAATGCTGTTGTATTCAATACTTTCGTTTATGTATTTATATACAATTTGAAATGTAAGCAGAAGGGTTTTTATTAATAAGCAACAATAATAATTATGATGTAAATGTTATTCAATAAATTTAGTTATCAGTGTTGTCTCAACATTGGCTAAACGATAATTAATTAAAACTACTGTACGCAAAAATAAAAATCGGAAAAATAAAAATAAATAAAAATTATTAAAATTAACGAAGTTACAGCATAAAAATTATGAAGTTATGAATATCGCAAGGAAAATATATTAAATTTTAATTAAGACAACTTGGCATCCTAACAAACTGATACTAACTGATACTTTACAGTATTCTCAATCCATTCAATTATAATTAATTACTCCTTAAAAACCAACTAATCACATCGTTATAAATTTTTTTATTAATAAACAATAAACCCCGGGTCCCCGGGTCAATTTTAAAATTTTAATGTTACGTGAACCGAAAATGCTATTTTTTTTTTAAAAAAAAAAATGCATAGTAAATCATATGGTCCATAACGTGATTTTATTCAATAGCAAATCTCCCATTTGTTAAAATTATGCGGGCTTTGGGAAAAACAACTTACCGATTCCAAAAACACGTGCTCTTACTACATTTTATTGGTTAAAATATTGAAATGGAAAACAGATTATTTTGTGCTACTTTTAATTGGACCATAAAAATGGAACAGAATTATGCAGTCTGTTGATCATCCTTGGCGAAATCATTTATTTGGTTTGCTGCGGATATAATAATCATTTATTTAGCTGACAAATATTGTAGTTTTCATCATTTCATGCTAAAAAATCCATTGATATAACAAAGTAGTAATATTTGTAAGGTTGTGAGACTAGCTTTTTCTGTTCAATAAATCAATAAACTTCTCAATTTGATATAATATAAATAATGATCGACTCAGCCATTATTTTCGTCGAACTTGATGCATAGGGATCTAAAATTATAACAACGTTTTTAGAAAAGTATGTTAATTTGTGATACATTATAAAAAACGTCCAGTTTTTTTGTTAAACGGCAAGTTCAGAATTAGTAAAGATTTTCAGGAGTTTCACTTATAAAAGAAAATCAACGAAAATCCGAATTTTCAAATCATTTTCGTTTTTTTCCTCTTTTCCTCGCATTTTTTTTTTTTTTTTTATTTTTTTTATAAGAATTATTATAATCATGGTTAAGTATTGTGAAAAAATCGAAACTTTAATCATCCAAAACAATTCTACTTCACCATCCTCAACTTCTATCTCAAATAAATCATTTTCATCTCGTTTAAAACATTTAATCCATCGCAATTCAAGTAATTCATCATTATCTTCTTCTCCAATACAACCAAAGACTCAGAAAACACAAATGATATTATTAAATCCAACAGATCCAAATTACATTTTGGTAAAATCATTATTTAAAGGTCGACCACTTTCATTATCAAAAGTTCTTGGAATATTCGAATTACATATGCCAACGAAACTTGAACGACTTCATGAAGCTTATAAAAGAAAACTAAGCAAAAAAACTGGAGAAAACATCGAAAAGCTTACTCACAGAATGTTTCATGGTACGACTTCAAATTTAACTTGTTCATTTATTGACGAATGGAATAATTGTAATATAGAAAGTGCAGGAGGTCATATTGAAAGAACATTTTGTGAAAAATATTGTGGCTTGTGTGGAATTATACAACATGGAAATAAAACTAAATATACTAGAACTAAAAGTTTATTTAAGAGAAATAGTAAGTACGGTGTATAAAGAATTTTTTTTTATTATTTTATTTTATTTTTATTTTTTTTTGTTGAGCGAGAATATTGCATTTTTTTTAACAATCAATTTCAAACACCAGGAATGTGGTTTGCGAATGATCCGTGTACGTCACTTTATTATTGTAATAACGGATATAATGAAAATGATATAATAAAGTCTATGTTCATAGTTGATGTCATAGAAAAAACTCCAAAGGGGATTTTGGTTGTAAATAAAGACAAGGTAAGCGTGATCTGGAAAGTTATTGTTTCAATAATTTATAAAAACTAAATTATTTTCTTATATTATTTAGGCAACTTTACCAAGATTTTTAATATTATTTGAGATGTCAGGTAGTCCTTTCGGAAAATCTATTGCTGATTATAATACATTTCTTTAATTGATCTTCCTTATTAATATTATTCTGTAAATCAATCACTATTTATATTTGTATATTTGTTCTTCGTGTATATATAAATTAGTTAGAATTTCTTGTATTTTACTCGTGATGCCATTTTATACATATATTCAGTTATTTTGCTGTGCAATTTAATTAGCATATAAATTTTAGGTGTTTTTTTTTTTTCAATTCTTTTTCTATATTATTTAAATTTATTCACTTTTAAAAATCACTTTTTTATGGTTTGATACTGAATTATTATTGCGGAGAATAATAAAGTCTTAAAGTTTTCGATTCGAAGTTAAAATGGTATGGCATTTTAATCCCTAATCTACTCTACAAAGCTCTTCAGATTTATTCTTACAAACCATAGAAAATAAGTAATATTATCTTACTAAAAAAAAATAATTAAAATGCGGAGTTTTTGATTCAATCAAATAAAGATACATGTAGTGACAATTAATAAACTGTAATAGGTCGAAATTTAAAGGTCGAACTTTAGGATACGGCATTTTAAAATATATTAGAAAATTAGTTGTTATTATATAAAAGATATGTTTT